CAAACAGGAAAGGAAATAATCACACAATCCTAAGCCATCAGAGCAGGCCTAAGGGTAACATCCTAGCTCTGTTTTGACCTTCTTTGTGATAGGAAGGAGAAAGAACTTCCCCCCGAAGCTTCTCCTTCTGAGGAAAGACAGGGCCCTGCCTTTAGGAGCCCCAGTCAGATGGAGAAAAACAGGGCCCTGCTCCAAGGAACACTTGTCTACATGGCAACAGGCCTTCTCCAGGAGCCCCAGTGCGAAAAGGGAAAAACAGTCCTAACTCAGAAGCCCTGATCTGATGCAGAAAAACAAAGCAGCGGGGACCCATACCTGGGGTAGGGAACCAGCGTCACTGCTGGCACCCGTGAAACCTTTGCTGGAATTAGAGTTGTTCTCTCTGAACACTCTTTTCTTCCAGCTGACACAGCCTGGCGTCAGGGTGCAGAGCTGAGAGTGGAGCGCCAGGGGTGGGCTGGACACCAGCTTCCACTGGCATCTCCTCCACGGGATGCCTTTGTATGGGACTCAAACTGCACAGCCCAAAGTGCCACCCCGGGAGGGATCCCTGCTCTCAGGAACCCTGGTTTGAGAAAGGCACTCAGTCTGGGACCTGGGAGACATAACCCTCACCCAGACAACCCTGGTTTGAGATGGAGGAGTGACCCAACCCTAGGGAATTCTGGTCTGATGTGGAAACAAGGCTCTGTCCCAGAAAGTCTCCCTCAAAGGTATGGACAGAGCCCTGATTCCAGGGACCCATCCTCTCAACTTCAGTCACAGCAGTCGGCCTCACCAGCTGACAAACTCGGACCAGAGTCACCACCGCCAGGCCGAGGCATGGCGTGCTCAGGCATGGCACCAAGGTCTTCTGTAATTTAGATTCAACCCGTATCCCCAGCTTCCATTCCTAATACTGCCCTCCATGAATCTTATGGGCTATGCTCGCCAAATTAATGCTAACTACTCCCTGATTATGCCATTCCTTTCTTGCCTCCATGTTATACACATGCTGTTTCTTCTAACAGGACTATTTTATTTTTTTACCCTTCAACAACCTGCCCAAATCCCATCACCTCCAGGAAACCTTTCTGAGTTAGCTATCTCTTCTCCTGACCCCGATGTGTCCCTACTATTGCCCTTACCAACTTTTGCTGTGTTCACCCCTTTCGGTATGTTTCGGTTATCTACTGGTGTATAATAAACCACCCCAAAACTTAGTGGCTTAACACAATTTATTATTTCTCATAATTCTGTTGGTTGGCTAGGCCTTTCCTTACTCCTGCAGCTCATTCAGCTGGAGGACTGGCTGGGCTGGAAAGTCCCAAATGGCCTCCCCACATATCTGGAAGATTGGGGGACCTCGGTTCCCTTCCACATGGCCTCTCATCCTCCAGTAGGTTAGACCAGCTTCCTCACTTGGCAGCATCAGGGTAGTGTCACACCAAGAGGGCGAAGGACAAAGCTACAAGGTGTCTTGAGGCCCAGACTCTGGAATTCACACATCACTTGGCAAAGTGTCACAAAGCTAACCCATGATCAAGGGATGAGATGTAGTTCTTGATAGGAGCAGGTGCAAAGAACAGTGGCCACGTTTAATCTATCACAATGAGCCTGATTCTTCCACTAGACTTGGAGTCCTTCCAAGGCAAGGACCTTGTCTTATCCTTCTTTACTCCCTTCCGTTACTCACACATTCAGCTGTATTCACTCATGCTCAGCGCAGTGTCCTTGCCTTCAAGGGGTTACGTTTGCAAACAGATAATTAGGACCCAGTGTTTTAAGTGCTGTGACAGGGGTATAAGTTTCTAGAATTGCACAGGGGACAGAGGAGAAAATCAGTCAGAGCAAGCTTCACAGGGGAGGTAATGACTGAACAGGGTTTCAGAGGTAAAGTAGGAGTTCACTTTGGTGAACAAGGAATAAAGGGTATTCTAGATCAAGGCAACACTATATGCAAAGGGCATAGCAGTATAACCCAAACAATGCATCTAGGGAGCTGCTATCAGTTCAGTTTTGTTAGAATGTAAAACACAAGGAAAATTGGTAGGAGATGAAGTTGGAAAGTGCCCTAGGGACTAACTGGGTATCCTATTCCCTGATCTTTACACAATGCCTGGCAGGTAGTAATTGCTCAATTGTATTGGATTTTTCTTTTTTTAAAATATATTTTTATTGATTTCAGAGAGAGAGAGAAACATGAATCATTGATCTGCTGCCTCTTGCACGCTTCCTACTGGGGACTGAGCCCGCATCCCAGGCATATGCCCTTGACGGGAATCGAGGCTAGGACCTTTCAGCTGTAGGCCGATGCTCTATCCACTGAGCAAAACCAGCCAGGGCAGATTTTTCTCTTTTTTGATCATCAAACTCAGTCTCAAAATCAGGGGGTTTGATTTCTTGTTTGGAGTCCCATTTATTTAGCCCTGCTGGGTTACCCAACCTCTTAACCATTACATCACTTTACCCTCATAAGCAACTGTACAAGCTAGGATTCACTGCCCTCCAATTTATTGCTAAGGAAACAGGCCTAGAGAAAGGAAGTGACTTTTCTAAGAACACATATATTCTTAAGAGTAACAGAGTCAGAATCTGAGTTTGAGTCTGTCCATCCCTGAATCCTAGATTGTTTCTCAGCCCTGCACTGGGCTCAGGGGCTTCCCTCATGTTTCCTCATCCCCTTCCCACTATTATTTCCTGCATGCTAAAACCCTGTTCTGGGTGACTAGATAGAGATGACCTCCCAAGAAGGGACAGGTATGTAACTAATCAAAATATATAAGATCAGAGGGAAGCCAGGGGATTATGAAAACTCAGAGGAGGCACCCTAGCCGGTTTGGCACAGTGGATAGAGCCTCGGCCTGCAGACTGAAGGGTCCCGGGTTCGATTCTGGTCAAGGGCACATGCCCAGGTTGCAGGCTCGATCCCCAATAGGGGACATGCAGGAGGCAGCCAATCAATGATTTTCTCTCATCATTGATGTTTCTATCTCTCCCTCTCCCTTCCTCTCTAAAGTCAATAAAAATATTTTTTAAAAGATCTCAAACTAACCTTATATCTCAAAGAAATATTTAAAAAAACAAACTATAAATAAACTAGTTTGATTGTGTAAATGCAGCCTAAGGCAAAATGTGAAACTAAGAATCAATAGTAGAAATGGCCAAAGTATAAACAATAAAAATTTTTTGAAAAAGAAAACTCAGAGGAGGCAACTAACCCAACCTTGAGAGAAAGTGAAGCCTTCCAGGCTGGGTGGGGTTGGGGGTGGTGATCAGCCAATGACCTTGTATGCATATATGCATAACCTATGGACACAGGCTAGGGCTGTGAAGGCCTGGGGCAGGAGGCGGGGCGAGCCAGAAGGGATCAATGAGAAAAAAGGGACATGTGTAATACTTTCAACAATAAAGATTTTAAATTTTAAGAAAAAGAAAGTGAAGCCTTCCAGAGTCCTGCAGGATGAACAACAGTTAACCAAGCAGTGGACATGGAGGCATGGAGAGCACGGGGTGTTCTGTGACACCTGTCAGAGGACGCAGGGAGAGAGCGGGAGTGTGCGAGTCAGAGTCTGGAGGGCAGACCAGGTCAGACAGGGCTGGATGCCTCGCTGCAGAGGTGCAGGTGGAGAACCACTGGCGGATTTAAAGAAGTGGGGAGGCAGGGTCAGTTTTGAATACAAAGCTTACACTGTGTAGTGTGGAGGATGGGCCACAGGGAGAGAAACTGGAAAACAGAAGGCCAGATGGGAGACAGCCGCAACCTTAGAAAGTTCGTAAGATTATGACCTGGAGCAGTGACATCCCAGAGGTGCGGCCATTGGAGAAGCACTCGGGGTGGCTGCCCGCGGCGCGGCTGTGCTGGGCTGGTTCCCCCCTGGCTCCCGCCGGCCCTGGCCCGGGCTCGGCACGGACAGGATGCGCCTGGGCGACCCTCAAAGCGGGGATGGACGCGGTCTAACGCGCGGGAGGGCATCTCTCGGCGAGGCCTGGACGGTCTCTGAGCAGGAGATGCACAGATGCGGAGATGAGTTTGTCTGTCTGTTGTTGTAAGAACTTTAAAGGTAGACTCTCTGAGTGTTCAGAATGAGGGAAGGTGGGGCCAAACCCCACTCCGAGGCTCCGCTGTGAGCACCCCTGAGTGGCCGCGGATCCCCTGAGCTGAGCCCGGGGACGGGGC